TCATATGGAACACACAGCTTAGTACAGTGTAGCGCTAAATATTTTATTAAAATAAATCAGCATATAAATAGAAAAATGGTGGATGGCCTGTCAGTTGATTCAAATCTTTAAAGGAAGAAAATATTCATTTTCTACAGTAACTCAAGGCTTTTTTTTTTTTTTGACAGGCAGAGTGGACAGTGAGAGAGAGAGAGACAGAGAGAGAAAGGTCTTCCTTTGCCATTGGTTCACCCTCCAATGGCCGCCGCGGCCGGCGCGCTGCAGCCGGTGCACCGCACTGATCCAAAGCCAGGAGCCAGGTGCTTCTCCTGATCTCCTATACGGGTGCAGGGCCCAAGGACTTGAGCCATCCTCCACTGCACTCCCGGGCCATAGCTGAGAGCTGGCCTGGAAGAGGGGCAACCAGGACAGAATCCGGCGCCCCGACTGGGACTAGAACCCAGTGTGCCGGCGCCGCAAGGTGGAGGATTAACCTGATTAACCTATTGAGCCGCAGCGTCAAGGCTTTTTAAACGATGTAAAAAAAAAATAAAAAAATAAAAAAATAAAAAAAACAGAAAAATGAGTGTTTGGCGTTCAAAGCACGCCAGCGTTCAGGTTACGTAAAGTCTATTGGATCATACGTGGTGTCTGCTGCTTGACTTGTGGCCCGCAGTGATGGTCAAAGGAGGACTTTCTGTCTCTGCATAGTGTTGGCCCCCTCTGCCTCGTGCCTGTGTACACACCCCTGGGGTGCCCCGTGACCAGCGGTAGCTATTCTGCTGTTCCACAAATGCCAACTCGACTCACTTCCTGACTGTTGACAGACACGAGCTGTTTCACACCAGGGAAGTGAAATGAGACAACGATGCTGCACACAGGAAAATAGTATCAAGGGGCAAAAATATTATTTTTAGATAAGGCTGTTTCCTAAACCTTTAGTGACGTCCGATAAATCTGTCTCCCGTACGGCAGAATACAGCCATGTGTGGCACCAGTGTCCTATCGCAGACACTATAACACATCTATCTATAGCTCAGGCATCTGCTTGCAGCGATGCTAAACCCAACACTGCACCGTAGAGTTTGCTAAAACAAGGAAGTGAGCATGTCCATGAACAGGAAAAGGAGTTGTGTAAGAATACTCCTTTAGGGATCTGCTGAGCAGAAAGAGAACCCCAGAAAAGCAAGCAAGCGCCTGTGGGTTTCACGAGAAAGAGAAGTGGCGACCCTGGGGTGCCCTTACAGCTCTTTCCATCAGCACTCCGACTTCTCTCTTTTGAAAATAACAACCCCTTTTCTCTTGTGCTTCAAGAAGCTTGCTCAGATAATTGGTAGATTTTTTATATTTGTTCCACATAAATGTAATATCCCTATAGTCACTGAAACGTAAACATACAGGGTAATAGCTTCCTGGGCAAAACAGCCTTTTTAGCAAGTTATGGATTTAGGGCCCCTCAGGCTATGAAAAAGTTGCTTTCTGTGTGTGATCATTAATTCAAAAGGTTGGGGCCAGCGCCATGGTTGACTTGGTTAATCCTCCGCCTGCGGCGCCGACATCCCATATGGGCGCCGGGTTCTAGTCCCGGTTGCTTCTCTTCCAGTCCAGCTCTCTGCTGTGGCCCAGGAAGGCAGTGGAGGATGGCCCAATTGCTTGGGCCCCTGCACCTGCTTGGGAGACCAGGAGGAGGTACCTGGCTCCTGGCTTTAGATTGGCGCAGCAAGCCGGCCGTACCAGCCATTTGGGGAGTGAACCAATGGAAGGAAGACCTTTCTCTCAGTCTCTCTCTCTGTCTAACTCTGCCTGTCCAAAAAAAAAAAAAAAAAAAGTTATTTGGGGGATGGCATTGTGGCGCCATGGGTTAAGGTGTCCCTTCTGCAATGCTGGCACCCCATATTGGAGTACTGAAGTCAAGCCCCAGAAGCTGTGTCTCTGAATCAGCTCCCTGCTAACCCACCTGGGAAAGCAGCAGAAGATGGACCAAGTACTTGGACCCCTGCTACCCACAGGGGAGACCCAGATGGAGTTCTGCACTCCTGGCTTCAGCCTGGACCAGTCCTGGCCACTGTAGCCATTTCAGAAGTCAAACAGAGGAAGATCTCTCTCGTTCTCTCTGTCTCCTTTCTCTCTGTCTCTCCATTACTCTGCCTTTCAAAATAAATATTTTTTTTGAAAAAGGTAATTTGATGCCCTAGATCTTAGAATATCTTAGAACTAGTCCCTAGGCACAGCAGAGAGCTGGACTGGAAGAGGAGCAACTGGGGCAGAATTAGTCCCTAGGCTGTGATTTTATACATACACATGTTGCAATGAATGAAACACTGTCAGGCCATAGAAGCAATACTTCTGTTACCTATTTTACCTTAATTTGGTAGTGGAATTTGGGGATCTATGTGGAGGTACAGATTTCTGGAGTCCTCCAGAAGCAGCTGTCCCAGGGCTCTCTGTGTCCTACACTGATCTCTTATTTTATTGATGTCATTTTTATTACATGTGCAAGGCATGTTGATAAGTCAAAGCCATTCAGTTAAATACAACTAAGGCTGTACAGTCACATACTAACTGTTCATGCTGCTAGGACAGCTTCCTACAACTCTAAATTGGGAGAATGGGACTTCTAGCACGCCTGACGTGCAACCACCAAACCAAATGCGATCAACTTCTGTGCTTGGTGGGAAGAGACGCGCACCCACAGAAGACTGAGAATTACTTCCGTTACCCCAGAACTCCAGGTGACTTTCTCTGGACCGCCGAAGAGAGTTTTACTAACCACAGGCCAGCTGCAGCAAACAGGGGGTTTATCAGGGATCCCCATGGAACACACCACCCCCACCTTCCGTGTGACCTTCCCCTCCCCAACAGCTGCTCTTGCAAACAACCTGCTAGGCAGCGCTCAAATGAAGCCCAACCAGGATCCTTTCTATCTTCAATCCAGCCAACAGGCTGGCATTCCTCAAGCTCATTACAGGGCCAGGAACTGCTGCAGGGCCAGGCCTGCACTTCCTCCTCCCTGGCAATGCCTGTGGCCCCGCGTTCCCAGGATCTGTGGGGCCAGATCACGCCAGCCCCAGTGCACATTCCATCCTGTCAGGGCACCCGCAAAAATAAATAACATTTACAGTGGAGTTTGGAGCCAGTGGAAGGCAAAGGGAGAAGAAAGCATCTTCAGAGTGAGTAGATGAGACACTGGAATCCGCTGGATTTGTGGGTTTTAAACCATTTTTCAAGGGACACTAGAAATCTTTTTAAGGAGATACAGACTTGTGCTTATCAAAACCCCAAACTCCAACCCCAAATTACGGTCATGACAAAGTAAGTTATAATAAAAGGAAGTAACAAAGTAAAAGTTTCTCCGGCCTGAAAACAGCTCAGTGGAGGAATTTGGTAAGCGGGTGCTGGCCACCTAGAAAGTTCAAGGTCTCCAGCTAAGGCTCCTTCTGGTCATTCATTACCTACTCAGAAATGCGACTCCCTCTGCTTTGTACAAAATGCCTGGGAAGCCCAAACAAAGGGGACCCAGAGGTTTCCTTAGGCAAATATGTGCAAACTGAGCTGACTTTTAGATCAGGGACAAACCCACTGGTCACATCCAGTCCTCTGCTTGTTTTTGTATTGCCCGTGAATTAAGAATGGCTTTTACTTTTTAAAATCATGTGTGTGTGTGTGTGTGTGTGTGTGTGTGTGTGTGTGTCGGGGGGGGGTGGGAATCAAAGGAAGAATATTTTGAGATATTTATAAAAAACTCAAAGTTCCACATCCATCGAGTTTTACTGGAACACGAATACACTCATTCATGTACCTGTCATGTGTGGCTGCTTCAGCACTTAAGAAGAGCTGAGTAACTGTGACCCAGACCACGTGGCCTGCAAGAGCCAACACACAGACCATCGGGTCCTTACACAAGGAGTTTGTCAACCTCGGTCTCAGACTGTGAAACAATGTTTGCTTTTGCTGAGATACCTGACCAGAAGCCTCTGCTCCAGGCTTTGCTGGAAAATCTCACAAGGCACAGGGAGAGCAGAGAGAGAAGGTGGTCTTAAGACTTTAGAGAGCAGTGCCTACACTTGACAAAAACAGGCAAAGGCAGGAAGGTCATCAACTAAGGTAGTCTGGACTGCACTTACAGGTGCAATCCCCCAGAGCACTGGTCAACACACACACATACACACACACACACACACACGTTCCTTGGTGGAGCAGAGTATGATGGTTTCATCTTCATACCAATTTATCAACTGCCTCTTGATGGTTCAGAATTGTACGCCTGGACCCTCTGCCTACTCTCTTTTCGCCTACAAGCCTTGAATGTTAAGAATGTGCCATTCTAGATTTTTCTCAGAGGAGTCTGACATAGAATAGTGTCTGCCTTGGAGCACAGGTCTCCTGGCGATGGCCACTCGGGAAGGCTGAGGTGATGACCAGGAGAGACAGCTGGGCGTCTCAGCCTTGCTGGTCAACAGGCAGTGCATCCTGCAATGAATGACAAGTGTCAAGTCTGCGGTTCTGTAGGGCTGTTAAAGCCGTTATCAGGTTCCCACTAGGTAAGTGTGTTTTATGTTTCCTCTGCGTCCTGAGAAAGAAGGAAAAAAGAAGTTTTTTTTTGTTTGTTTGTTTGTGTGTTTTTTTAAATTTTCATGAATGAAACTACCTCTGGGCTGTGGCATTTTTGTCTTCTGGGGGTCAGGGACTAAACTGTCAGGCTGTCTGCAGCCACATTCGCCCCATGGCAGTAATTCAGGCTCCGAGGAAGCAGGTGACCAACCCAGCAAACCTCAGGACAATGGCCGTGGGGGACACCGGCCTCTCATCTCAGCATCTTACAGACCTCACGGCTTTGCAGTTAGTGCAGAATCTCCCCTTTGCTAAGACACTGTGTCTGCATCAGTTGACTATTTTTGAGAGCCCCTAATAAATATTTGAGTAGACTGTGTTTCTACCAAGCACAAGTTGAACAGTTTCTTTCAGAAGAGGAGCAACAGAATATATGTTTAACCAAAAAAAAAATTGTTGTGCAAACTCACCTGGAAAAATCTCCCTTTGCCTCCTAGAAGAGAAAAAAATTCAACATGAGTGAAACACACTAATCCAGAGTTACCAATTTTAAAGTAATTCTATGGTCAGGGCCACTTCCCCAGGCAATGAGCTAAGTTTACCTTCAGACTGCTAACCTGCTGTTCCCCCATTTGCCACAGGAATATAAATAAAGGGGAGCTGGTGCACCTGCTCCACACACATCACATCTGAAGTTAAACTTCTGAAAGTCATAGACGAAGAAAGAGATTCCACAATGACAAGATGCAAGATTCCACCTCTAGGCTCTGGTCTAACTTGTTCCAGGTTAAAAATTCAGAATCCAAACAAGTGTCTGGAAGAAACCTCTATTTCTTGTGTCACTTGTTGCTGTGTTTGGTATTATGGGCTATTTCCCAATTACACCAAGGATTCCGGAGCCCGGGGCCACAGAAACTTCAGTGACTCTGGCATAATGCTGTGAACACAGCAGTTTTGTTCCCTAAATTTGTTGCAGGGATATATTAATGACATCACTTCAACTCACCTTGCCATTCGTATAGCTAATACTCTGTAAATTTTTTTTTTTTTGCTAACATCCTTTTCTTTTTCTTTCTAGGGGGTCACGAAGGTGACCCTTTGATGATCAATTCTAGCTATTCTCTTGGCTCCAAGGGAGGAAACAGGGCCTTTCTCCCAGGCTCAGGTCAGACATACAACCTGCCTTTACAGAGCTGGGTGGTCCCAGAATTCTGTAAAATGAGAAGCCCCTATTTACTGCCATGCTTTCGCTGATCCCGGCAGCTCTTCCCAACCTGTGGCTAGAAATTGTTCAGCTGATCAAAGACAGAGAAGGCTATGGGCCATGCACGGAAAGTCTCGATTCTTCTTCCTTCTGTGTATGGCCTTGGGTTACAGAGAAGAGGAGGGAGCCACTTACCTGTAAGATATAGGAAGCTAATTCAAACACCACTTCACTGTCGACATCAATAAGCTCCTGGAAGGGAAAACCAGCAAGGAACAGTCAGCTTGTTCCTGATCGACGACTCCTCTCGACTTCCTGGAGACCCCAGACACCCGCAGTCCCTGCAGCCGCTGCTCGGAATCCCCTGGTCTCACATGCTTACTGACAGCGTTTTTTATAGCTCTTAGCTGGAAGGGGCCGGTGGTGCTAGACCTACACGGCCATCTTCAAGGCCTCATCTTCAAATCTGGATGAGAAATTAAGGGGTGGGCCAGTTCCCAGATGTCCACAAACCTGACAGACTTCTTAATCATATTATCACTAGAGCTTGGCATTTATCCTCTTAATAGACTTACACGTGTACAGCATTGTATCTACATCACTCACATGTTAAGTGACAAAGGGAATCCAGGAAGCAGCAGGCAATACTAATACATTAATTGACGGTAGGCTGTTCTGTTGTTGCACTTAAGTACAAATGTCTGTCTCTACAAGAACAGTTCAAAAAATTCACGGAAAAGCACAATTAAAGGTAAATTTATGTTGGTCTAAGAATTTTTAAAATACACACACACAAGGGGTCTTTGAAAAGTTCATGAAAATAATGCATGCTACAAAAAAACTATGCATGGACTTCAGAATTTGTTTTTAAAGCTTATTTATTTGAAAGGCAGAGTTACAGAGTGGGGAAGGGAGAGGGAGAGGGAGGGGGGAAAGGAGAGGGGGAGAGACAGATCTTCCACCTGCTGGTTCACTCCTCAAATAGCCCCAACAGCCAGAGCTGGGCCAGGTTGCAGCCAGGAGCCAGGAACTTCATCTGGGTCTCCCAAGGTGGCAGGGGCTCGAGAGCTTGGGCCATATCTGCTGCCCAGGCGCATTAGCAGAGTGCAGCAGCCAGAACTCAAACCAGCACTCATGGGATGCCAGTGTTGCAGGTGGCGGTGGCTGAAGCTCCCAAGCCAGCCCATCAGCTCTAGATTTTAGAAATTTTTGCACCAACATACACTTTATTTTACTTTTTTGTGAGCCTTTTCAATCACTCCCATATTTTTCTTTCCTTAATATTTCTGCATCGTATAGTGAGTGACTGCATGATAGAAAGAGCCAGGAGAGATTTAGAAAGCAGCTATCCTAGCCCTCTGCTTTTCTCGAGAAGGGAAATCCAAAAACACTAAGGGACTTGCCCAGCATCAAAGGGCCTTCACAGCAGTTGTGGGCTGGAAACAGCCCCCCAATCTCTCATCCATTGTGTGTCTCAGCTTCGGCCAACATAGATAGGCTCAAGAGCAATAGTTCTGCATAATCCAAGTCAGCTTACGGAGTAAAAGCTTTCCAACGGAGTTACAAACCACACTCGAATTCATCGAGTTTTGGGACTGGCCATAGTTGGCCCCTGTAATTCACAGAAGCAAGCCTCCAAGTATATCTTGGAGGAGGGCTATCATTTAGGCTCCTTGGGGCCTGAGGATTTCCAAGACGGATAATTATGCTTCCCAGACCAGCCACCTGAGAAGTGCGGGCTAAGAGATGTAACAGGAGCACGTGGGAGAACGGGGGACAGCCATTCTTTGTGTGTGACCAGCCGAGAGAGCTCCCTGGCTGCGGTAATTGATACAGACTGTCACTGCTGGGATGCGGAAGAATGTCTGGAATTGCAGACCTGGGATTACCAGGTCCCATCGGAATGTAAATCATTTAACAGTGCGCAACTGATTTAACAGAAACTCTGGAGCACCAGGGTTTCCACAATGGATCTTTTCTGCTCTCCCCACGTCAATCTCATTCCCAGTGCTGGGCTTCCTGGATGCATTCCTGGGGTCCCCCCTAGTGTTATCGGAACTGTGTGCTCTCCTGTCAAACATTTACCCCTACAGGGAAGCACACAGCCAATGATGGCTAATGGTTAACATCCCCCAAGAAGCTTATCTACCGTGCAACTCAAACCCAACCAGCAGAAAGGAGCTTTCGGTTAGGCGGGAACACAGGTCTTGACTGACTACTTGATTCATCTGGTAAAAGAAAATGCCCTACTTGTTGGGGGGTGGGGTTGCAGGGGCAGAGCCCAAGGAGGAAGGTCTTTTAGTTTACACAGTCCATTACATGTTTGAGGGACTGGTGATGAATATTAACTGTAATGCAGGACTAGCCACAGCAAAGCTGCCGTCAATGCACCGTTCAATGTCTAACCTGTTTCACGCACCTTCTCTCTCCCCGTAGCTGTCCCCGGGGTAAGTAGGGGCCAGGTAAAAGTTTACCTGGGGGGAATTTCCACCTTCCTTGACCATGACCATCTCCCAGGGAAGGCATCAAAAGCAGCCAGAGCCAAAACGTGGCCAGGAGGAGGGCCAAGGATGAATGAACGAGGCGTTCCAGGCACTGCACACACTTCACACCTGCAAATTCTGATTTAAAAGAGAGCTGCATCATCACTGCTTTGCCCAAGTCCTGATGCCTCTTGCTCGTCTACTGCTTCTTCCTTTGACCCTCGCCCTCTTAGGTGATCTGAGATTTCACTGTGACAGAATACGGCTCTCAACTTTGTGCCCACTCCACAAATTTCCCATTGCACTTCACAACCTGGACACCGAGCTCCCCGCCGAGGGTTGGGAGATATTTCCAGGGATCCTCTTGTCAGGAGGTGCTGCCACCCAACAGGGAAAATGCATCTATCTTTTTTCTCATCTGACTTCTCTGGCAGCTTCTCTCACGTGTTTCTGCTCAAGCAGAGACAATGAACTGAGCGAGAGCCTCCGGAGTGCATGTAAATGCATCCCAGACCATCCTGGGGCTCTGGGCTTTCCCCTTGACCGAGGACAAAGTCGGGAAGGAGGAGAGGGAGCAGGAGACTCTTCACAAAAGACGGATGGGTAGCTATAAGCTGCAGAAGCTGGCGGGACCGGTCCTCTGTGCTCCGGCAGCCCGTAGCCCTGCACCGGAGCCCCCAGCGCTCTCAGACCCAGGTGAGGCTGGGCTGCAACAGGGGTGTCTACTGAGCTACATCTGGCCTAGGACTCTGCTGGACGGGTCATCATTCTGTCCTGAGACCTGCTGGCCAGGGGAAGAGTCTGGCGGAAGAGAATGGGAAATCTTGGCTACTGCGCACTGTGGGCATCTGTTTTCCTTATTCGGGAACCATGTGTGCTGCTTCCTTTGATCTTTGACAAATGGCACGGACACACAAGGTGGCCATCTGCAGGTGTGTGTATGTGTGTGTGCATGCTCTGAGCATGCGCTCAGCATTTTTCCACCCCAGGTGACGATGCAGGGAAAGGAAGAGGCTCAAGGTCCCTGATGGGCTGCACAGTGGTTAACGATATCCTTAGAACGATTTCCATCTGGGGACCCCGGGTGTTCCGAACCAACAGCCCATGAGACCTCCCAGATGTTCTCCAACAGCCCGAGAGCTGCAGGGCCTCTTGGCTCTGAGAGCCCTGGTGGTGGTCTTTACACTCTTAACGGAAAACGTTCCTGCCCGGTCAGGAGTTGCGGCGTAAGATGGCTGATTTATGGACACACAGTAGGCTCAGAAGACTCCAGTGAGGACGACTTCTGCCCAGTCCACTCAGAAACACTTTCAGGCAGGACTGACCCAAGGGTCTTCCAAAGGAATCTTCACCAATTGTTCGCTGTTCTTTTTTTTTTTTTAATTTATTTTTTTAGCTTTACATTTTTATTTATTTGAAAGGCAAAGTTTTACACATAGAGAGAACGAGAGAGAGAGAGAGAGAGAGAGAATCCTCTGTTTTACTCCCCAGAGAGTGTAGCAGCCCCCATGATCACGTGGGCCAATGACCCCTGGTGATGAACCTCCTTCTGTGGATCTATATCCTGTTGGTTCTGTCTCTCCGGAGAACCCTAAGCCAGCGCATGCCATCAAAGTAGGTCACGGTGCCCACACTCAGTCCAGCTCGCTGCCTGTCCTCTGGCGGCTGTGTGAGCTGTCATGCCTCATTGCACAACCCATCCGAACGACACGAAGCTGCCCTGGGCAACCAGGGGCTGCGGTGCAGGGTAAGACTGACAGGATCTTGCACAACTCCTCCTCTTTCTTAGTCCCCTGCCAGGTTTTCAGCAGTCAAGTCACTTCATGTCTGTCTCCCACCACTCTCGCTGAGCTGGGACTCGTTCTGAGGATCAGGGTTTCTCATATCGTCCACTGCACGCAGCCTCTATGACGGCCCCCATAGGATCTCTGTTTTAGACCTCTTAGCACAGCCAAGACGATGGGTCAGTGTGGCTGTTCCTGGAAAGCTGAAAGGTAGATCCCTCTCTGTCCTCCCGCAGGTCACAAGCACGAGTCCCGGGCCCAGCACACCGAGCGATGGGGCTCGCTCTGGGAGGCAGAAGCTCATGTTTACGTTGGCTCCGCAGTGCCTGCCGTGGGACTGCGCTCTCGGCTTTGTTTCCCCCACCTACAGATGAGGTGACTTCATCTCCTCACTTACGAAGCCCTCGGAAGAGCTTCGATAAAGACCACGGATGTGAATATCCACAGGAGTGACTACATTTACACCTAATGGCACAGTGGCCCAAGCATAATCATCTCAACCTACTGGTGAAGTTCCTAGGCCAATGCAGACAGCTTGGAAAACGAGGCTCAGCAAGACCTCCCCACCCTTCCCCACCCCGTCCCCATCAGCACACATGAAGCAGGAATTTGGGGCTTTTTCTTTTCTATCATGATCTGCTCTCAGGGCATGCGTGCGTGTCCCCCTAACCTTGGTGATTGCCAGGAAATATGCAAATCCTGGCTTCCTGGAATTGGAAAGCAAACACTCAAACACTGTTTGCTGAGCACTGGGCATGCACCTAGTACAGTGACGGCTTAGGGAAGGCGACTGTAAAATCCACTTGGAAGAATGACAATGCCAGCTTCTTCCCCAGCCCCAAGAAGCCGTCTTCAGATGGCAGCCATGGGTCCCGTGACCTTTGCTTTCACTGATGCACAAAACAAGTCTAAAGGTGAAGTGTCATTTCAATGCCATGAACAGATTTAAAGAGCAAGTGATCAATTATTTCAGGCCAGGGCAAGA